TTGATTTGTATCTTACTTAATTTAGTAATAAAAATTATTTTATTTTTATTTTTATAGGCAAAGTTTTAACCGTCAAGTTAAACTGACAGTTAAAATTTTTCCTACATGCAGTTTTAACTGAACAGTCCGATGCTCAGTTAAACCTCTGAATTGGAACTGGCGCGTCTGTTAGAGCTTAAACTTGTTTCGCAATTTTTAAGGAAACTGTAATATTAAATTAGGGTCATTGACTTTATTAATTCTAAAAGAATATAGAATTAACTTTAAAACACCTAACTGTATATATACCGTAAGAAATCTGGTCGCGAAATACATTCCTTTCATTATTAAACATTTTATTTACTAAACAATGTTTACAATTCGTAGAACTTTTACCTTATCTAATATGATAAGATTAAAGCTGTCGAAACAATGTTAAAGCATTCAAACTCGCGTGATGACTAAATAGTGGAAATGTACCTTAAGACTATGAGATGTCTCATTGCCGCATACACGTGCCAAAGGACATATGAAAATAAATGTGTACGTACACCGTTGACTAAACTATCGCACTGTTGCGCGATTGTAGTCTTGGGCTTAATCGGACATCTGCAAGTGCGCACCGTACTAGTACAATTGGGAAAACGTACTAGTACACACTTTTAGTACCTTTAGTACTTCAGATTTGTGAAAACACAATACATGAATAGAATATAACGAGGGTTATATATTACTTCACATCAAATTTTAAGCAGGGTCAAACGTATGTTATTAGCGAAAATAAATTTAGTTATCAATAATTTTATCCACTTTTGATTCTCATCATCGAAGGTGGATGCTTCAATCTGACAAAAAGACGAACACCGATATCGTGTAGTGTACTAAAAGTACTAAATGTCCGATTAACAGAAGCCGTTCGGTTACTTTAGTTTTAGTACAGTGCCGAGTAACATTACTTTTTAGTACATCGTACGTGTACTACCCAAGACTACGCGATTGTCGATTGTTTCGGAGCCAATTCAACTGTTTAGTTGCACAACTAATCGAGTAGTATGCACACCTACATATAAGCTCATAGGAATCAAAGCGAGACTAAATATTTGTGCGATAGTTTAGTCAAAGTTTGGCGCGCTCTAAAGGTGCATCTCCACTGTAGCAGCTGGATTACAAATGTTACCATCTCTCTTATACTCGCGATCAAAGATGGATGATTGTATCGAAATTAAAAAAAATAACAAAGCACACACATATTACTCAGATTGATAGGCAAAATTTGATACATGAATTGTTTTCATTAAGTACTCATTTGTCTATATGTTGTAACACAAATTGCCCAATACATTGTGACCCTGTTAAACAATGTTCCAGATGTATGTGGGTATTTGGAGACTTTCTAAATTTATTACACAATCGATTTCGTAGAGCCCTTTGAATGAATAATTTAAATCGATTTCAAATCTATCGTAACATCGACACGCATGCCAAATACTGGCACATTCCAACAAACTTGCATGCCAGTCGCTCCACGATATCTGATTTTATGACAGTTGTGTGCAAAAGATGAGGGAGTGTCGAAGGTGTACGAAATCACATCGACACGTCATACTATCGTTAACATTTTACTGGTATCTGTGAACGCATTATGCCAGTGGTTGGCATTGGTATACTACCCCGTTTTACTGGCTTATTTCCGCTTTAAGTTAAATCATATCAAGATCGTTGCATTTTAATTGAAATAGATGTATAATACAGATAACCATTTATCTGGATGCGTGACGAGTTTGAACTAATATTATAATAGGCTTGTCTGTCTGTATTCATTACAAAGCCTATTAACTATTCACATAATTAACGTATTGTTTTTAAATATAATGGATTAATCTAATGACGTCTTTTCTATGATATCACACACATCGTAAGACCAGAGGCACACTTTTAATTAAACTATCGGGCAACTGTTGTGCGATTGTCGATTGTTTCGCAGCAAATTCAACTGTTTAGTTGTACAAAAATTGAGTTGTGTGAATCGCCGTATAAGTTCTCAGGGTTTCTTAACCGTTACGGATTTGCACCTTTCTCATAAAACTCTACCATGCATTTATACTCACTCAATCGATAATCACGTGAAAATATAAATTTTAAACGAGACATAAACGTGCATTTGCATAAATAAGTTACATGTACAGATTAAAATTTTATGACTATTTAATGATAAGGAAAATTACTACTAGACAAATAGTAATATTGTTTCAACCCCAATCGTTGTGGCCAATAAAGCTTGAAAAACGTCACTCACTCATTGTCATTCACTCTCTATAAAAAATCTAAGCAAAATATGCTTTTTGACCGACTTCCCAAAAGAAGGAGGTACTCACGTCGTCTGTATGTTTTTTTTATGTGTGTTACGGCATAACTCCGCCGCTAGTGGACCGATTTTGATAATTCCTTTTTTATCCGAAAGGTAATGCTTGCAGGTGGGTCCCAGTAATAATAATTGTACAATATAGACATAACAGCTACAATAAGGGAGGTTTACTATTTTCAAGGATTTATTTCGTTTCCTTTTAGTGTACTGTTTTTTTGAGAATATTTTATTTTTGGTGTACCTTGTTTGGAAGTCGGTTTTGTTTTTTAATTAAAAAGTTTTGTAGGATTCATCAGTGGAAATCCACGGTTATAGTGTAATGCTTAGTTCGAAGTAATAAAGCTAAGCAGCTCTTGTTACGATTATGAAAATCACGAGCCGGAACCTGGCCTTATGGAGCGAGATAATCTCTTAAGATTTTAGCACACAGAACCGAAAGCGAACAGGAAGCGAAGCGTAACACAGAAATCAAACTATTCGATGAGTTACATTTATTAAAAGATCCTATAGGAAATCTTACTCCTTTCGTTGGATCGTACAAAAATTGTTTTGTATTTTTCTGGTTAATTTCCAGCGCCTAGTCTAGACATACCTCTCACTTTATCCTGGTCTGGTAACAAAGTATGTCAAGTTCTATCAATTAGCAATTTATATAAGCAGATCATAAAATGATAATTGTATTATTGTTAATGTTAATTTATACAGATATTATCAAACATAACATGTCCAGGAGTATTTATGTTTGTATAAAATAATTTACGTTATACGAAGGACTGTATAATGATTTACCTAACATCGTTTTAAACAAATAACATCAATTAAAACGACAATATGAACAAATCATCGGGAAGGCAAGGCTATCATAACATTTAGACAGGTAACATTCAGACAGATTGTATTTGTACATCATTCCAATCGTGTTTATTAAGAAAATGGCATATACCAGTTTCAACTGGTTTATCCAGATGTAACCGGTTTCTAAGGGATATTTAAAAAAAACCAGTGATAACATTTGTTTCTCTGCTCGTTTTAACAATGGAAATAACGGTGTTACTAGAGAAGATAAAATTTTTGGAAATAACGTATGACACAGACGTGTACATTGAATTTTTTGTGATGGATAAAGAGGCTTGTGTCCCGTCCTGCTGTTGTACGCGTTACGCGATACACGGCCAGTACGAAGCGAAATTTCCATTTAAAAAAAACATTTAGCCTTACGCCAAAATGAATGTAACAATATTTATATATTACGATACATTTTCTATTCGCTTTTCTGGCTGTGTACTAAAGGCTTTAATACATTATTTTTGGAATTCACCCAATTATGAAAATTCGGTTATTTTAACAAATCTTAATAAATATGTTTCCGTGGAACAAAGTACAAAACATCAACAGCTAAATGCAGAGAATAGGAGAACAAGTTTAATTATTATGTTATAATGCATCACTTTACTTTTATCAACAAATGAATATAAATAAATGGAAAATGAAAGAAGAGTAGCTAGTAACTACTAAAACTTTGCCTGTCTGGATAGTAACGCAAATGATGGTAAAACTTGTAGAACACGACAAGTATTATAAAGCCATACCTTAAATCTTGTAGCAGATGGATGGTCTTTAAATCTTGAAGGTTTTTCCATGTCTCGAAAACTACTCTTAGTAACAGGAGACTTGGGGCGAAGCGTGTCTGATACATCACTCTGTGCGATCGGCAACAATTTGTCTTTCTCGCTGCTCTCCTTCTTAAAATGAAGACCAGCTTCAATATCTTCAGTTTTCGAACTTTCCGCGGGATACTGTATGTTCCCGTTGGTCGCTGCCATCGATTTAGCAGAACTTATCTTACGAAATCTCCCAATAATTACATCCTCTTCGTCGTTAACCGGTGCATTGTAACTTTGTACCAACACGTGAGGCTTACTCTCATGTTTATTGTCGTCAGACTTCACTGGACTAAGTTCTATATCTTTTTGTGATGATCCCATGTTGGAAAGCTATTTATTATCACACTGTTTATTCAGAAAATTTAACAATACATATTTTATAATAACGTGACAATGCGACCGGCTATTATTTTGTTTCGAGTATAATAATGATCGCAAACGAAAATTTTTAACACAAATCGCGGAATAATGTAATAAATCACATATCACACAATAATTTTTGCAGAAGTTTTCAGTCAAAAAATGAGCGAAATTTGACAAATTCAAACAACGCGGAATCGTCTCATCGTGGAACAGATGAATGGAAGCACGCGCACACCTGCTCCGAACGTCAATTTGAATGACAATAAAACGGCGGAGTGAATGATGTTGAATATGAATGAAAATTAGAAACTGACTATTTATAGAAACGAATGACATAGAATAAAAAAATAATGGTTTTATACTTAAGATACCAATCCGGAAAACAAAATATTGGTTTGAAATAATCTTTAGTAATTAAAATACTTTTCGCTATTTAGTTTCAATTATTTAAATAAATAAGGGAAATGTATTTCACTCGCAACAATAGACCTAAATAAGTATAGTTCTTAGTTACAAAATTAGGTGTCTTGTTGCGGCTCTTTTTGTTTCATATTGTTTGACCGAAAAAAACATTTTAACATCAAGTGGCAACACTAGGTTAAACATAGAAAAAAACACATACATAGATAAAAAATATGTATATGAAAACGGAAAAATAGGAGGAGTCGATATTGTATTTAATACCTTTTAGTTTTTTTAAGTTCCTTAAGTTTGAAATACCGATAATTTACAGTACAGTGTGGTGTATTACATCTATATAACAACTACGAAATAAGTTGCTATGGGGTTTGATGAAGGAAGTATAATTTTAAATAGTGAAAATGAAACTTATTTTGCGGGGCAGACTATTTTTGGCAAATTGGTGTTCGAGCAAGACAAGGTCAAAACATTTAGGGGTAATTAAATTTAATGTTTTTATTTTAAACTAAAAGTATAAATGAATCTAAGTAATTTCTGATTTATAATGTTTTAGGTATATACGTTAAAATGAAGGGATTTTGCGAAGTACACTGGACTACATCTTACACAGAAGAGCGAAACAACCGCCGGCATACACGGACAGAAAATCACAATTCTTACGAAGAATATTTTAGCAGAAAAGTGTTTTTACTTGGCGGAGAAAGTGGTGAGATATTAAGTTTATATGTAGTATAGTTTTTATTTATTTTTTCATACTTTTAAAATAAATATATTGCTTAGAACAGAAGAGAATTCAGGATATGTTTTCTAATATTTATGTATAAATCTTGAAGAGTAAAATGTCCTTAAATCAATATTCTTTCCCTGGAGTATGATAGAGATAAATTAAGGCTAATAAGAATAATAACTTTATACTTGTCTTCCTAGGTGAATATCACCTACAGCCTGGTAAACACGAGCTACCTTTCGACTGCCCCATCCCTGGTAACTGCCCATCATCTTTTGAGGGTCAATATGGTCATGTGCGATATGAGATCAAAGTTGTAGTGGACCGAGCATTCAAGTTGGATCAAGAGAAGATACGGCGAATAAGGGTTATTGCTCCATTGGATCTGAACCATGATCCATACTGTAAGGTCAGCAAAATATTTGTAATACATAATAAAAAACATTGGAGTATTAAAATAAGTTTTATAATTTATGTTTCGTCAATAATAAAAATATCAGTAACAAACGACATCTGTTTTTGTTATCTAAGTAGTCAGAACATGTTGTTCCTGATTTCAAGTGTTATAAATAAGAATCAATATGCAGTGGGTCAGCGTGGTTGACTATGGCCTAGTCACCCTTTCTTTAGGGAAGGCTCCGAGCCCCTCGGTGGGGACGTATAGTGAACTGGTGATGATGATGATGATGATGAAATAAGAATCTAAATTTTTTTTGTATTAAACAGTGGATCTTTTTAATAAAAAAAAATTGAAATGTGTTACATTTATAAATCAAATGATGCTTTTATCCTCTTTCTCAATCTCAATTTTTTTTTTAATGAAAGTCATTACAGTTTGAATGGATGTATGGACTACATACATCCAAAACGGCTTAATAAATCTTGATGAAATTTTCCCCAGGTTTAAATTTTTTTTTTAATTCCAGATATCACTAGCTAGTTTTTCAATAATATTAACCATGTGCAGGAACCAATGCAGTTTGATATAGAGGACAGCTACTGCTGCTGCTGCATGGGCAGCGGTTCCAGTGCCACGGTGGCCAAGCTACCAGCATCCGGCTACTGTCCCGGACAGACCATACCTGTAGAGTTAAGCTGCTCCAATCAGGGCCGAGTTGAAATAGAACGAATACTACTGACTATACAAAAGGTGTGTACCAGTGTTTTTACTATAACTTGTCAAATAAGCAAACGTAAATATGAATTCGTCGAAATAGCGAATCATTCACAGCCTAGAGCCATCCGCAAATGCGGTTTTTAAATATGCACAGACCAAGTGACAGGCAATCTAGTCTTACTAATATTATAATTGCCAAAGTTTATATAGGTGGATAGATATGCTACTGATGTTACATGTGTCCTGAAATTAAATATTATTTTGTATTTATCATACTTATATTAAAAAAAACAATGGGTGTTTTTTGGAGTATATAGTCCAAACTACTGACTGGATATTAATAAAATATTGCATAGATGTACAGGATAGTCTGAAAGAACACAAAAACTACTTACTTACTATATGTATCTACTTTTGTTTTATTTAATTCTACAGGACACAGTCACAGACGACAGCTAGTTAGGTATGAAAATGAAAATGAAAAATAATTTATTTAAATCCAAGAATATAAATACATAAAAGATATATTTCTATTGCTTTGTTTGTGGATACATAGGAAATGACTGTCTGTAGTAATCAGTACGGGGGCACTAGGCACAGCCTGTATCGCGAGGGTCCTGCTCTTAAGATTTAATAAACATATATACCTAGCCTTTCAATTTAAGAACTTTTAAACCAGTTATCTACTCAATTTCATCATCTAGAGGATCACATACCATGCTGTGAATGTCCCCGGCACAAAGCATGAGGAGTCAATGGTGATGGAGGTGAAGAAAGGTCCCATTCCTGGAAACAACACTCGGAGCTGGATGGTGGATATGGAGGTGCCTGCTATGGATATCTACAACATGGGACCTTGTAGATTTATTGATATAGAATACGATTTTATGGTAAGGTTTAAAAATATGAATAATTTTAATTAAGCAAAAGTAGTAATCTATTTTGATTTTATCTTGAAGTTTTGTTCTTGAGTAATAATTTTCTTTTAGCATATAAAGAACTAAACTAGTGTTATTAATAAATATTTGCATTGATAAAAAATAAATAAAAATGTCACAAAACCAAATGGAATTTATCAAGACTTTTTGTTTTTAAATTACAATTAAAACAATGTATTTTTTTAATTAAAATAATTTGATTTCCAGGTAACAGTGATCCCCGAAGGTTGTCATAACAAGACTGAAGATAGAAGGTCAATTAGAATCGGCACAGTACCTCTCATGGGGTACCAGGACAACATCCCCAACCCTCTGCAGGACCAGATACCACACATGCCCATTATGAACCAACCACCACCTACCGTCCGTCCATTCACAAACGCCTATCCAAATCAAAACTCAGCTTATCCTTCGCAAAGCTCACCTTATCCTCCTCAAAACACACCATATCCTACTCAAACTTCACCTTATCCCCCTCAAAACACACCTTATCCTACTCATACTTCACCTTATCCTACTCAAACTTCATCTTATCCCCCTCAAAACTCACCTTATCCTTCACAAAACACACCTCAATCAAATCCACCTTATCCAGGTATGAACCAACCTTATCCAGTTTCACCCGGTCAAAACCCACCATATCCAGTTGTTTCTCACACTCAAAATGCACCAAATCCGGGCAATTATCCTCATAGTTCCCCCAGAGTATCCCCTTATCCGGAAAGAGCCACCAGCCAAGTGCTAAAGACAGGAACAATTGGATTTGCTGTACCAAATGTTCCCGTTCCATCTCTACCTCCAGGAACAAATGTGCCATATCCTTTAACTGTGAGTATTTTTAACATAATAATTTATTATTCTACTAACTATTTATTTAGTCGGCGACTCTATCCGCATAGAATTAAAAAAAAAGTAAGTAGCCTGTTATTTCAGACAATCTTCTACTCTATGCCAAATTTCATCGAGATTCATTCAGCAGTTTAGGATACAAACACTAATAAACATGCATCTATCTAAACTTTCGTGATAGTATGATTTTATTTATAACTAGCTTTGGTAAGACTTCCTCAAGGTATTTAAAAAAATAAAAATAATAATGGCCAAATCCAATAAATCTTTCCTCTTTATAATATTAGAATAGATTGCGTTTCGTATTTAGAGTCAATATTTGCTGGTTTTGTTAAAATTTACAGTATTAATTAAGTATTATTTAATTTATTTTCAGCCTCCGAACAACCCATATGCAACAGCAAGCGCGCCCGAACCGAACACACCCGATGATGATCGTATGTATAAAAATACTAGCCCTTCCCGTGCGACTTGTCAAAATGACATGACATGATGGCAACCTTGCTTCCTTAATATTGGCAGCAACTTATGGTCTCTTTCCCACATTAGGGTTTTTATCCAAAATATTTACCCCCTAAGTTTTACTGTTAAAATATATAGCCTAAAGCGTGACGCGTGTGCTTTTTATTGCAAAAGGAATTATTCAAAAATATGCTGTAATTGCTGAGATCTTAGGCAACAAAGAAACGAGTGTTTACGCTTTATTATAATAGTATAGAAGTATGGATAGTATAGATATAAAATGATACACTAACACTTTGTAAGCAAAATTCTTTATTTTTATCCTCAATAAATTCGCAATACGACAAAAAATTACACACATGTTGTATAAACTTTTTCTCCATTGTCTCCTCGCTTTTTTTTTTCTTTTATACTCTGTGGAAATGTTCATTCAGCCAGTAATATATATATTGTAACATCTGTAATAAAAAATAATGATTTTAAAAAATAAGGACGATCGGCCAAATCAACAATGCTTGTTAATATTTTAAAACTAACACAAAGTCAATGTAAAGACATCGAACGTTATTGCAAGTGTCCCACTTGTCCTTCCGTTACCTACTATTTCCTAACAGTATTTAATATAAATGTATTTTTACATTTTTCTTAACAGAATAATATTGTAACAATACTCAGCGCCATCTGTTGCTTTTTTGATAACAAAGTAATTAATAAAAAGTTACATTTTAATACACTATGACTTTTAGTAGTTGTTTTTTTTTTTTAAATTAAAAGCGAGTTAACTTTAAAATATACATTAATATTATTAAAGTTTTTTTTAATTTCAGAAAAATCACCTTTAGTTCCAAAGGAGCAAGCGATGCCCTACACACCGTACAATCCTGAATACATGGACAAAATGGAAGAGAAAAAATAATGCTTTTAAAACATGGGAAACTAAAAATTGGTCACAATTAAAACCGAGTTAGTAAGTACAATAAAGACGATACAATACATAAGAAAAGACTAGCATATTTTTTATAAAACGAAATATTTATCAAAATTTATTATTATATACAATTATGAATCTCGTTTTTACAATACTTATCTATGTAATTGTTAAATACTTATAATACTCGAATTTATGTAACTCAATATACTTACAATATAGAAGCGCGCGCCTTTACTAAACTATCGCAAAACTGTTTAGTCACACTTTGATTCCTATGAGGTTATATGGAGCATACTCGATTTTTAGTTGTGCAACTAAACAGTTGAATTGGCTGCAAAACAATCGCACAACTGTTGTGCACTAGTTTAGTCGAAGGTGTGCGTCCACTGATGGTGCATTAAAAAAATTATTAATATTTTGATTTTAGACTGTCTTATGATATGCTTAACAATTTTGGATATGCACAATTTTTGAACAATTTAAAAAAAATTGTACAATAATTAAGTTCTTTTTTACATATTAAATAAAATTTAAGAGAATACAGTATATTTAGTAATAATGCCATGTAACTGTTACATATAGCTTTGGTAAGAATATTATAAATGCGAAAGTTTAGATGGATGGGTGTTTGTTACTATGTATCTCCAGAACGAATCAACAGATAAGTCCGGCCTGGAAGAACTCATAAACTCGCTTTGTTCTTTTAATTCTGTGAGAATGGAGTCCGTGGACAAAACTAGTATTATATACGGGCGGGAATACATATGCTAGTAAACAGGATTAGTATCGTGCATGTCAGTTACTGGCATTTGCCAGCTTCATGCAAGTATATATGCTTACTAGCATGCCAGTCGAGGGGAGTATCGAAACTTTACACTGTACTATTTCGGAAAGGCATGCAACCTACTATTCTATTTCACTGGCATGTGTATTTCCGCATTTAATAGAATTTATAACCCCCTTATTTTAAGTACATTACGTTACCAATAATTTGTTTTTTAATTTGATATTTTACTTTTAGTGCCATATGCCTTTTACATATAAGAAAATACCCAGGCCTTAAAGGTTCTTAAAGTTTACTATTATTGACATCTCTTTCTCGCCACCTTCCGTCTCTTTCTCTCCTTCATTCTCTATAAACTGAAATAACTATTTTTCTATGACACTGGAAACTGATGGTTAATTTGACCATATGTGATAGTAACATGCAATTGAAATTATTATTCCATTTATGTTTGTTATTTATAGTATACTCCACATAATGTTATGTATAAGAATAATAATATGCTGCTATTAATGTTAACTAATTTTATAAACAATGTGATGGTTGAATTCAATACATTTCAATTTATATGTTTAAATGGCCGAAAATATATTGTCTGTGGATTTTGTAGTTTTTAATAAATCTATAATCACAGCCTTATAGAGGTAAAAAAATTGTTAATTTTTTTATAATTCCTCATCTCTATTGAATTCAACTATAGTATATAATCTCAATAGATTTAAATATTATTTGATAGAATTATTTCAAGTTGTATTGTACTTTTAAGGTTATTTTTTTTTATCTGCTGGACAGTTTCATATTTTTTATAATGCTGTAATAGTTATTTAGAACTCTGTATTTTCTATAAATAAACTCACCGTGCCTTGAATACAGATTTTTATATATTTATATGTAAAAAATAGCATTTACTATACGTAACATACTTAATTTTTGAAGTTTGTGCAAATTATAGTTTTTAGAGGAATGTTTGTATGTTTCTAAATACTTACTGCTTTACTATTTACTTTTATATGTTTTTTTTATATCTTGATACATTTTATGAAAAATACATGATTACAAATATTCGTTTTATTTTTTTATTTGTCTCCTGTAACACAGTCTGCAATCGTTTGCTGTGAAACATTTGCGGCTTAATTATGGTAGAAACTTCATGAAAATATTACACTTAAACATTTATTAAATCCGAGACGTAAGTTCACCAAAAGTTAATTAAATAAGCTTTCAATATTGCCGTTTTCGCACGTCAATCCATATGTCAAATCGACAAATAAGGAATTGATTGATATTTGACATTGACATTGACACAACACGCGTGTTGATTTACATTCTCAATTATTTTGTTTTCTTTTGATTAATTAATAAAACTGGAACAAAATGGGTAAACTAGATGTTGCTATATTGCGCTATCTAACCAGTGAAGACTTCCGTGTTTTGACTGCGGTAAGCCTTCTATTGCGAATACAAAGTGAGATATAACCTTTGATTTTACTCGACTTTTACTTTTAATTTTATTTCAAGGTGGAAATGGGTATGAAGAACCACGAACTGGTACCCGGATCACTGGTAGCGTCTATAGCTAACTTACGACACGGTGGTGTTCATAAGTTAATGAAAGAATTGTGTAAACATAGACTGTTGACGTACGAACGTGGAAAACATTGTAAGTACAAGAATTAACTGTTACTATTTTTAATTGTTCAGAGTGTTCACCGGTAGAGGGGAGGCCAAGAAAGAGATGTATGTATTGTGTGAAAGATGACATGATTAAGAAGGGAGTTCTTAGACAATGGAAGATAGATTAACTTGGAGCAAGAAAACATGGCGCAGCGACACTACGGGAGTAGGATATATGGATATGATGATGAATTGATGATAGAGTCTAACTGACTGAATATTTTTTGCAAAAATTCAGTGTTGGGAACAAGTTATGTTATAATTTCAGATGATGGTTATCGTTTAACGAATGCTGGTTATGATTACTTAGCGCTAAAAGCATTGACGAACAGGAAAGTGATTGCATCATTTGGTAATCAGATTGGCGTTGGCAAGGAGTCTAATATTTACACAGTCGCTGATGAGGACAGGAATCCACTTTGCTTAAAGTTGCACAGGTATATTTAGCTTTATAACAAGGTCTCAAATAAATTAATAAATGTAAACTAACTAAAAAAAATGTCTTAGTTTTTAGGCCCACTACACCATCAGCTTTAACTGAATGTTTAAAACTTACAGTTAGAACTTAAGCAAAACTAAGAGCTGTACAGTTTGACTGTGTAGTATAAAATCTATAACTGACACAATTTTCACAATATTTTCAGGTTGGGCCGCACATGCTTCCGGAACATAAAAGACAAGCGGGACTACCATGCGCACAGGAACCGTGCATCATGGCTCTATCTCTCCAGGATATCAGCCACTAAGGAGTTTGCATACATGAAGGCTTTACATGACAGAGGGTTTCCCGTCCCACGCCCTATAGATTTCAACAGGCACTGTGTTGTTATGGATTTAGTGCAAGGTGGACCTTTGTAAGTATAATCAAGGCCATGGCTAAAACTTTAAAAGCAAATGTCTATTGATGTGAACACTATATTATCTTGTTTATAAGGAAAAGGTACTCTAAGTGATTTTAATGTGTATTACAGTATCTTGAATTAAAAACAATATACAATTAAGTCTTATACAAGGATTAGTAATGTCATAACAATGTATGATTAAAATTTAACTTAATATTTTAATAACTAAATCATTAGATTACATGAAGCCAAATATTCATTTCTCTTCTATTACATCTGAAGAGCCATATATCACTTTAAACTAACTTTTGCTTGTTCCTTTTTGTGGAATTTAAAAAACAAAAGTACTTAGCCTATGTGTTCTTCCAGACTATCCTCGACATCTATGCCAAATTTCATTTAGCATTTTAGGTTACAAACTCAAATATACATTTAAAACACATTTATAATAATCATATCATAGTTCTTACTAATATTATAAATGTGAAAGTTGAGATGGATGGATGTTTGTTAGAGTTTGCAGCGTAAACGGTAGTATAATCTAAAAGATACATAATCTAGAAGATAGCATAGGCTACTTGATTTTGTTTTTTTAAATCCAACGCGGACGGAGTCGCGGGCGAAAGCTATAATGAAAATGAAAATAATGTATTTTCAGGACACATGTAACGTCAGTACCAGACCCTGCCAGCTTGTATGATGAGCTGATGGATTTGATTGTGCGTTTGGGCAACTGTGGAGTAATACACGGAGACTTTAATGAGTTCAACATTATGGTGGATGAAGAAGGACGGCCCATTATTATTGACTTCCCGCAAATGGTGTCCACTAACCATCCTAATGCTGAATTGTAAGTGGTTTAACAAACTTCCAATAACTTTTTAAGACCAAAAATAACAAACTATCAGTTCCCATAGGGCTTTGCCATTAATGGCAAACTTTGTTTTATTATGTACATTCTGTAAATTGCATGTCAAAATTTTTAATGCATAAATTACAACGAAGGCTTTTGCCATTACCTAATTTACTAAGAGGTTTTTTTTTCAATTTACTTACCTAATATCTGGCCTAGAGTGTGTTGTAAGTGTAAGCTTGAAAAAAAAATTTAATTATTCATAAATAAATAGATCACTGTACAACAATCATGCTGACATTGTACATAACAAGTGTGTGTTTACGTTTGATATTATAGGTGTACTAGTTTTTGCCCGTGACTCCGTCCGCGTTGATTTTAAAAAAGTGAATAGCCTATATGTCCTTCCAGACTATTATATACATCTATACCATATTTCATCGAGATCCGTTCAGATTTATTTTACAAACATCCATCTAAACTTTGGCATTTATAATATTAGTATGATATTTGTAGCAACAGCGTTGTAAAACCATTTTATAGGTATTTCGATCGTGACGTGAAATGCGTACGCGAGTTCTTCAAGAAGCGGTTCGGGTATGAGACGGACACCTTCCCCAGGTTCGAGGAGTTGGAGCGTGATGATGAACTGGACACGGAGATCGCCTGCTCCGGGTACAAGCGTACTAAAGGCGTTGATGATGAATTGTTACAGGTGTGTTGTCAAATATTGCTGTCTTCTATATCTACCTCACTCTTTCAATTTCTATAGTAACAGTACGAAATTGTTTACAGACAAAAATTTAACATACTAGCTTTTGCCCGTGACTTCGTATGCGTGCACTTAAAAAAAATTACCCTATGTGTTTTTCCCGATTTTTCTGTACATCAATACTAAATTTCGTCATAATCCATCTAAAATTTAGCATTTATAATATTTTTTTGTTTAATATTAATCAATATGAAGCCAATAAAAGTACTTTTATAAGACTAGCTTTCGCACGCGACTTCGTCCGCGCGGATTTAAAAAATAAGAAATGCAAGTAGCCTATGTGTTCTTCCAAACAATCTTCAATATTATATTAGTAAGATAGAAATATACTTCTCCTTTACACAATTTCAATAAGAAAAAGATTAAGGTTTTTAAAAAAAATAACTAGATTATTTGAATGTTTTAGGAAATGGGTATCGGTCTCCAAGTAAGTGATGACGAAGACAGTCATTCAGGTGATGAAACTGATGAAGTAAATACAAAGCAGAGTTACGAAGAAGATGAGGTCACAGCTCTTAGAAATGAGGTAATTATATTACTAGCTCTAGCCCGCGACTTCGTCGGCGTGAAATTAAAAAAAAAGTGCCTAGCCCATGTTCTTCCAGACTATTCTACTTCTATACCAAATTTTATCGAGATCCGTTCAGCAGTTTAGGCTACAAACTCTAACAAACTTCCATCCATCTAAACTAAATTATCTGAAATACAATTGTTACTTGCTTTTGCCCACGACTTTGTTCGCGCAGTATTAACAAAACTTGTCTATGTTCTATATGTGTGTATTCATCGAAAATGCTGCAAACATCCATCCAAATTTTCGCATTTATAATATCAGTATGACTTTTTTCATTCCCTAGGTTGAAAAATCAATCATGAACGACGAAAGGAAACGAACCATAGAAGAAATAACATCGAAAACCAATAAAATATCTTTAGAGAACGAACAGGAAGAAGTACCAACATTAGTTCCAATTGATACAAAAGAGGATATATCCAAAATGGATACAAATTCACAGAAATACAGATTATCTATGATAGAGAAAGCTCTATCCGATGTCAGATCTATGAGAAGTTACACATCAGCTAGTACTATAGCTCCAGAAGTAGTTAAACAGCAGGTAAAGAAGAATCTAGAAGATAGACAGAAGAAGATGGAGAGGAAGAAAGCGATCGCGAAGGGAGAAGCGAGTGCTGTCACGAGGCAAAGAAGAGATAACAGAGAGACTATAAGAGAAAGTCATGGATTATGGGGATGGGCAGAATAATGTATTATTAAATAAATAAAAGAATGTTATATAGTTAACTGCTTTATTTCTTACTATAAATAAATTAAAAAAATATATATTATCTATAGGTCCCAACAATCTGTTTATTTTCCCGCCATTTACATTTTAATTGGCGTTATCTGTTCTTATGTAACAACAATGTTTATAGAAAATATAATTCAATAAATATTTATGAAACTGTCTTGTTTATTAAATGATAAATATTCTATAAACAACGAACTAGTATCAACAATGAAGATTATAATGGTACAAAGAGAATAAAACGTCTATTTCCAAAAAATAATTATTACAAAAAATAAAAATTATTTAAATTCTTAATCTCTTCGAGACGTTCAAACGCACTTCAATATAATTATTCCATATTAATTTAAAGTCAAACAAAGTCGATATACTTTAAAGAAAAACACCATCCAGCAGTGGTACTTTACTTACTAAAATATTACGTAACTAGCTTTCGCTCACGACTGTCCGCATGTAAAAAACAAAATGAAGCAGCCTATGTGTTCTTCCAGACTATTCTACGTCTATACCAAATTTTATAGAGATCCGTTCAGCAGAGTAGGCTACAAACTCTAACATCCATCCAAGTAAACGTTCGCATTTATAATATTAGTATGATGTTTATTAAATTGCCAAGCTTTATCCATCTGTGTGTGTTTACCAACGAAATGTCTGCATTTAAAAGATAATTATAATTACGATAGCCTCTTTACATAATTACAAATATTTATTCAAGCATTACTTTAGTTATCTGTAACTAAGGATATGCATTCACAAACAAACATGGCGGATGACTCCTTTATTTGGGTTTATATACCTAATTGAAATAAAGATTGTTATGCTTTAACTTTGGCACGATGGTTAAATACTATACTTGTAAGATTGCTTGCACATATATACGAGTTCGATTCCCGCCGTGTACAGACGCAGAAAACCACGGCTTTTCACTTTCTAAAAAATTGCGTTGTTTCTCGCACTTGTGTACAAAACGTTAAAAGGATATCAGCTGATGGAACACCGTCAGATTCCCTCATTGTACAAATTTACCGGACGTCCTTACAGTGTCAAACGTGCAATCTATAGAACTAATTAAAAGATTTATTAAGTCAATCCACACTGTACCATGTTGAAGGTCTAGCCACAGACTATAAAGCAACGGATGCGTAGAAAGCAGTAGAAGTATCATACGTGTTGTTTAGCAAAAACCTCGTATTGCGCTCACCGCTATCTTTATCAATGGAAAAATTAAATTAACTATCTCTGAATTTAGATAATGGACATTATCAAATGTATCTATTGTAGATAAAAACAGTGTAATTGTATATTTGGAAATTACTTATGGTGAAATGAAACAGATAGGGAGTATTTTTAAATTTCTTTTCGGGAGTTATGGAAGATGGGCGAGATTTGTTACGGAAAAAATGTATTATTTTTAAAATAAACGTATATTTAAGAACACAAAATAATGAGTCAATCTATAATATAAATAAGAAACAAATGTATTTTTGTATGTATTGAAACTCAAAACCTGGGCCGATTTCAAAAATTCCTTTACCATTAAAAAGCTACATTATCGATGAGTAACAAAGTCTATATCTTTTTTTTTTAATTTCACGCAGATGAAGTCGCAAACAACAGCTGGTGTTATGTAAAAAGTATATATGATCTCTGCCTATCCCTCCGCTTTAGTACGTTACTTGTGCATAAAAATCTGCTGGTGGTTACCACCTATATGGCCTCGTTATAACTATCATTAATAAAATAAAACATGGCAATAAAACAAAGCTCATAGACATTTTTATCTTGCTATTGCACTATCATTTAATCTGAATTAAAATTATACTAAGCGTCCATTACAGCATTAAAATACGATAAGAAAGGCCTTTGAATATTTTAAAAGAAAGAAATAACAAAACACAACGTTAAAGCTACTGGCAGTTTTTAAGAACATATTTTCAAAATAATTTGTGTTTAAATTAAAAACTAGAGAGTACAAAATGTTTGTTTTGATCAGTACCAACTCGAAGTTATATTTTCAGAATTGTTACACTTTGAATTATATTTGGATCGTGGAAAATCACCGTGTCTTATTAAAAATAAACCGAAGAAAATGGTAGAAAGTCGACGGATTATCTGTTGACATTAAATTAAAATGTTTGAAATTGAATTGGGTATTGTTGGAAGAAGAATTGAAAGAATATCAGCAGTATTTTTTCTTAATTTCGCTACAGCATACGTTTGTACAGCTGGAACACGGACTAAATTATTGTCATTTACTATCTCTCTTTTCACAAAGTGTGTGAAAGAGATGGCATCATATGTTTGTATGAACAGTGGTAACCCACGCCACAAAGGTATGTTGACGTCGTGGTAACCATTGGGCCCAGGGCGGAAAACAAGGAGCGTGACAGAATACATACAGTCTAACATGACGTGATATGATAAAAAAATTTAAGAACCGTAGAAATCTTAGGGCACTGATAGAGATAAAACTATCCCTTTCTATAGCTTCATTAAAATGAATTTAGTAGTAACGTATTTATAAAAAACATATTGGTAATCAAATAGCATAAACAATTCTTACGGTAATCGTTGAGACGGCGACGTGTTTATCTAAATAATGTGTTGATAAGCGTGTCTTATGTAATGTTGTTTAATGTATTCATGCGACGAGCGACAAAGTCGAGGTCAGCGTGGCCGCGGTCAAGCGCGAACATTCTTGGCTGAATAGTTCATAGCAACAGTGGACGATACAAGTTTCTGATTTGGAAGTAGGAGGTGAACCTTCCTGAGGATATGTCCGGGTG